AATTCAGCGATCTCCGAACCGCCAGATCTGTCCTCTGTGCCGTCTGTTTATCACGACCTGGCACAGGTGTTTTGTAAGGATAAGGCATGCTCCTTTCCCCCCTCACCGGCCGTATGACTCCTCCCAAGCGCACCAGTCCCCGCGTTCGAGCTTCTCCAGGGAGCCACTATCTTCTCAAAGGTGGACCTGTGCAACGCCTACCATCTAGTGAGAATAAGGGAGGGGGATGAGTGGAAAACGGCTTTCAATACTCACCTCGGCCATTTCGAATATCTTGTAATGCCTTTTGGTCTCACCAATGCACCAGCTAGGTTTCAGGCTCTCATGAACGACGTTCTCCGGGATTTCATTGACCACTTCGTTTTCGTCTACTTGGATGACATCCTCATCTTCTCCCGCTCCATCACCGAACACCAAGGCCATGTCAGGCAAGTCTTTCAGCGTCTCCTTGAGAATCGTCTCTTTGTTAAAGGGGAGAAGTGTGAGTTTCATGTCTCAACTGTTTCCTTCCTGGGCCACATCATCGACCAAGGTAACCTCAAAACTGATCCCGCGAAGGTTCAAGCCGTTGTTGACTGGCCGACCCCCTCTAACTGTAAAAAGCTTCAAAGCTTTCTGGGGTTCACGAACTTCTATCGTCGCTTTATTCGCGACTACAGTAAACTTGCCCTGCCTCTGACCCGTCTCACTTCTCCCAAGGTTCCCTTCTGCTGGGATGAACCGGCTCAACAAGCATTCGCTCATCTGAAGGACCGCTTTGCCTCGGCGCCCATTCTCGTCCAACCCGACCTCAACCTGCAGTTTGTTGTAGAGGTGGATGCCTCGGACGCTGGAGTGGGGGCGGTGCTTTCCCAGCAGCAAGGTGGTAAGCTTCACCCCTGTGCCTACTTTTCACGCTGTCTCACCTCCGCAGAGAGCGACTATGATGTGGGAGACCGAGAGCTACTAGCCATCAAACTAGCTCTGGAGGAGCTGCCCAGCCGTTTGTGGTCTGGACCAATCACAAGAACCTGGAGTACATTCGATCGGCAAAGCGCCTCAACGCCAGCCAAGCCAGGTGGGCCCTGTTTTACTAGATTCCAGTTCACAATCACTTACAGACCCGGTTCCCGTAATGTCAAGCCAGACGCCCTCTCATGCCAATTCGTGGCCTCCGAAAATGCAGCTCGGGACTCTCCCATTCTACCGCCCACCTGTGTAATTGGGGCCCTGACCTGGGAGTTCGAGTCGGCTATTGGAGAGGCTCAACGGACAGAACCAGACCCCGGAACGGGACCTCCAGGCTTGCTCTTCGTACCCTCCTCAGTAAGGTCACAAGTGTTACATTGGGCTCATACTGCCAGATTCACCTGCCAGCCGGGGGTCCACCGCACTATTACCTTCCTTCAATGTTTCGCTTGGTGGCCTTCCCTCGCTAAAGATGTCCGCGAGCATATTTCCGAATGCTCGACCTGCGCTCAAAACAAGAGCGTCCATCAACCACCCTCTGGCCTCCTCCAACATCTGCCGACTCCGAGCCGCCCCTGGTCACACATCGCTATTGACTTCATCACAGGTCTGCCCGTCTCGTCGGGTAACTCTGTCATTCTCACCATTGTGGACTGTTTCTCCAAAGCTGCTCATTTTGTTGCCCTCCCTAAGCTTCCCACTGCTCTAGAGACCGCCCGGCTACTAACTAACCATGTTTTTCGCCTCCATGGAATCCCCTCGGACATTGTGTCAGACAGAGGACCGCAGTTTATGTCACGTGTCTGGAAGGAGTTCTGCAGTGCCCTCGGAGCTCAGGTCAGTCTCTCCTCTGGTTTTCACCCACAGACCAATGGTCAAACGGAGCGTGCCAACCAGGAGCTCGAAGCAGCTCTCCGGTGCCTGGTGTCCACTAACCAGTCAACTTGGAGCGAGCAACTGCCATGGATTGAGTATGCTCATAACAGCCTTACCTCCTCTGCCACCGGTGTGTCCCCTTTCAAGGTGTCCCTGGGCTATCAACCACCACTCTTCCCAGCCGTCGAAGGTGAGCACTTTGTTCTCTCTGTCCAACAGCATCTTCGGAGGTGTCAGCGCGCCTGGAAAGCGTCTCGGGCCGCCCTTCTCCGCACAGTGGAACGCAACAAGCACCCAGCAGATCGCCACCGGACCCCTGCTCCCACCTACACACCTGGACAAAAGGTTTGGCTGTCTACCAGATTCATCCCGCTCAGGTCTGAATCCAAGAAACTGTCTCCCACTTTCATCGGTCCCTTTGAAGTCGACTCTGTGATTAACCCCGTCTCTGTCCGTCTTAAACTGCCCCGGAATATGAAAATCCATAACACCTTTCACGTGTCGCAAGTGAAGCCTTGCCTCTCTAGTCCTCTGCAGTGTTGGGTAAGTTACTTTAAAAAGTAATGAATTACTAATTACTTAGTCAATATTGTATTTAAAATACTTATCTAATTGCTTTGTCAGAAAGGTAACTTAATTACTAAATAAGTAATTTAACTAAATACTTCTTAAAATCCCTATAAACCTTGAGTGGGCAAACAATAGCAATTAAACTCTTTAAATAATAAATACATTTTTTTAAAGACGGAGACTCTACAGTACGCAGCAGTAGCATCTCTTCCACAATGTAGCCTGCAATCATTTTTTTAAGCTCACCTTCAGACGCTTTCTGTGCTGCTGAAGTAAAATCAAGTTTTGCCTGCTTAGCAGGAGTTGCCGCGGTGTTATCCATGGATGATGAACAAGGATCACTCAGAAGTGTTCGTCTATGCTCTCGTGCCAGGCGCTTCAGTAGATTACTCATGCTATTAACAGCGGCCAATAGTTTTTTCTCCCTAGGACATAGCTTACATATTACTGTAATGTTCTTGTCTGCTTGTTTCAGAAAAGTGAAGAGACGGGAATATGTCCATTTCAAAAAACAGCCACTCGCTTCAACCGAGTCCAACATCTTCCGCTTTAGAATACGACTATGCAGCAAACTGGCGCGAAATGACGTGCACCTGCAACGATGTTAAAGCGGCAGAGTTTACTTCTACGTTTAGAAGATAAATTATTGAAATTAAATAATGATATTCAGCAAGATTAATTATTTTACAATGTAACAGAAGTACATTGTAAGTAACTGTAATTAAAATACCTAAAAATGAACAGTAATTAGTTACTCTACTTTTTCAGTGGAAGAGTAAGTTAATTACAGTAACGCGTTACTGTCATGGCCAGACGGATCAGCTGCACGCTGATCAGCACGCTCTGTTTCTCTTTCTCTTCCTCTCTTTCTCCTCTTCTCTGTCGCCGGGGCGGAACTCACTGTGGGTTCATGCCCTCAGGAGATGAGACACCTGGGTCTCATTAAGATGATCAGCATTTAAGCCAGGAGGTGACTGCTGTTCGTCGCTGGATCGTTGTCTACCACGCGTTAGTGAAGCCAAACTACTGCAAGTCGAGTTAAGTGTGTTTCCTTTGTGCGTTGTATTTAACCCCGTCTCCCTGTCTACAGAGCTCCCTGGATTTCCCCCCGTGTGATTCCCTAGTGGCAAGTGCTGAAGTGAGAGCCAGTGATCGTTTGTGTGGATGATCTGAAGAACGCATGCTTTTCCCCTGGACTTCCCTTGAGCCCCTTTTCCCTCACGCAGCTGTACATAGCACTCCCCCCCCACCAATAGAGCACTTAATTGTGCTGTAATATACATATATATATTGCCTGTCCTGTCTAGAAGTGTAGCAATCAGGGTTGTTGTCTGAAGGCCAAACTAAATGCCCAGCAGATTTATTTTCCAAAGTCTACCATTACGGCTTTTGCTATACTGGTCCACTTGATACTCATATTTAATTTGATTTTTATTAGGTTTTTAACATTTATGAGTTATTACAATCAGAATGCAAAAGACGGAAATAAAGAAAGAAAGAGAAGTTGGGGAGAAAGTAGGCAAAAGGAGAGGGAGAGAAAAACAGGGAAGAGAGAGAGAAAAAACACTGAAAATCTGCTGAAAAAAACAAGCAAAAAACAACACAGCATGGAAACCACGGCAACAACCAACATATGCATAAATAGCGGTAAATAATAAATATTAAATGCTACTGAGCAGCACACAGTATTAATGATACATGACACATAATGTGTGTCTGTGAGTACCTGTTTGTACACCTGTGTGAGCTGAGCCCTGGGCCAAATAGACCTGAGGGCTCCCCACCCCCAGAAACAGCCCAACAAAGCCAAGGGGGCCCGGCTCAGCCAAGCTGCTGTCGGGAATGATCCACTACGCATTTGAGCACCCAGCCCCAGACACAGAGAACCACCAATGCACCAGCGGAGTTGGGGGACCACCTGGACCTGCAGCAGTAGGGAAACCCACCAGCCCAGACCCCGACCAGAGGGCCAGTTCCTCCTCCCGGCCCATTACCCCAGACGGCGAACAGAGAACGGGTTTTAAGATTTGTGCTTTGATTTAAGCAAGTTCTCCTTTGCGCTTTTCCAGTATAATAGCTGGAAATCCTGTTCTTGGTTATGCCGACTGCCAAATGTGCAGCCATAGTAATTCCTCCCATTTAATGAAGTGCTTGTCATTTATTTCAGTTGGGAGTCTTTGAAACAGCTATAATAACCAGGTAAAGATGATCAACTTGAGATATGAAACTTAATAAAACTTAATTAAATTCTATCTCCTAATGTAATTCCCAGTTTTCTGTTTTTTTAAGTCAATTAATTTAATCAATTTAATTCAGCTCCACTCAACAAAATGAACGCACACAAATGATGCATTTTTTATAGTTTGGCTTTTTCTCATATAGATGACATCTGACAATTTCAATATTTACTACTTCTGCTCTATATCCCACTCTCAGTCTGAACTAGCATATGATGCATTTCCTGTATATTTAGTATAATCAGATTTAATTTAATTAAACTCTAAACAACTTGAAAAGGAAAAAAATGACATTTTATTCACTTCTTTGCTGACGTTTGCTGCACTGCTGCAGATTTTACTGGATAAAGATGAAAAACATTTACTCACTGGACCAGTGAACTTGCAGGAGGCAAAGTCGCTGCAGCCACCATTTGGCTCTTCAGTACATCTGGAGAGCAGACAGAAAAACAGCCTGATGTCATGTCCCCAAAAGTAAACACCTCACGTTGATTTAATGAAGGCAACAAGGAAGCCAGAAAAAAAAACGTATTTAAGACAAAGATGAAAGGCCACACCGACCTGTTAATGGGACTGCAGGAGTAGCCATCTCCCTGGTAATCACTGCGGCAGGTGCAGTTGACGACGAGTCCCGTCTGGTTGCAGTCCGCATTCACATGGCAGCCGCCGTTGTACTCGGAGCAAAGGTCTGGAGCTGCAGAGTGTTTTTAATAAAACTGTCATCTGATTCATTATAAATGCTGGCTCAGTTTAAGGTAAGCATCAGCTCGCCACATGTACAACATCTGGAGCCTGAAACAAATGTGAACTGTTTTGATGCTTTTCTACAGCAACCAAATTATCAATCAGAACAGGAGTGCCACTGAGGAGAGAAAACAAATCTGATACTGAAAAACTAGAAGGATGAAAATATTTTAAGAAAAACAAACTGTCACAGAGCTCTTTCTTAAAATGCTCCAAAAACAGTTTGATTAATTCTGCCAGTCTGCTAATGTGCACAACAAGAACATTTACAGAAAGAATGACAGGTTACTGTAGTCAAAGAAAATAATAAGGGATAAAAACTATAAATGAAAAGGGATTATGGCAACAGTAGGGCCAAAAAAAAAAAAGTTTATGCTTTTAAAAAATTACTGAAACAATTGATTTTTTACAATCTTTGTTATTTTGATTAGAAGGAAGGCCAAAACCTGGTTGGGGTGGGGCGGGGCACACCACCATTTTCTTTTTTGTATGCTGAAAAACTCTGGATTGTAAGGTTAATCAAGTGTTGACCAGTATTGTAATGAATCACATGGACGCTTATCACTTGCATATGCTCAAATGTTGGGCAAGCTAATTAAACTGATTTAATTAGACCCCCTGGTTCACTGCCAGGGAGGCTAATCTTCCTCTAATCTAAGGGCTGAACTGGCCTCCTGTACTGCAATGCCAGGGTTAATAAGTTACAAATCAGCCATCAAAGACTAACAGGTGAATATACTTTGTCTCTTCTCCACCAACACATTCCTGGTTCTGTTATCTTTTAATCAGAGATAAATTACTATCATTGGAGCCTTCAAACTTAATTCACTGAAGCCATTTAAATGCACCAAGTGTTTACTGTACCAGCTCAGAAGAGACGATCCAAGCACAGGACGCAGCAGGGTAACAGTTAAAAATCAAGATTATTGATCCAGACTGAGGTCAGCTAATTAAAGAAACAAAACACAAGAGGAACAAGGGGATACACAAAGAAGACACCTAGGACTAGAAGGAAACAAAACAATATATCAAGAATACTAACAGAAAGTTAGAACAGCTGACTGGGAAGAATTCAACACAATCTAATACGAAATAAAGGGAAACTGGGGAATACATTTACAGAGGTGAGTAGCTGGTGTGCAAGAAAACTTGTGGGAACTAGAATCAAGGGTGGAAGTAGACAGAGTTAATAAAATAAAAAAGGAACTGTGGAATGGCTGCTGTTTATGTTGTATGACGCTGATGATGTCATGCTGTTTCGGGTTGTATTAGAAAAAGTAAAACATTGTCAGAGCGTAGCAGAAACAACAGTGGATGTGACACAACCACCAATCTCGACCGATCCCTGTTGATGAGTGGTTGTTAGGTGATCATATGCTACACTTTTTGGTGTAGTATCTGATCATCCTTGTGATTTAAACACTGCAGTCACTCATAAATTACAACCAAGTGGTATTAAGACCTGAAAAATTCAATGAAATGCAGGTTTATTTACCCCAAGTACCTTTAGGCAACTGGCATCAACAGTTGCCTAAAGGGACTTTATGAAGTAAAGACCCTACAGTGTTCAGGAGAAAACCCTGACAATCGAACAAGCCCCTGGAATAAGCCTGCAGTGATGGTTTAAAGGATTCTAATGACATGTAGCAGTTGTAGATCTACATATTGGGAGTAGAAAAAGTTTCATGGAGGGGGAACGCTCAGTCTAACGCATGAAGTCCCACAGCAGTCTGAAACTACACTGTCTGATGGCATCATGTCAACATGGACTAAAATCTCTGAGCAATGTTTCAGCACCTTGTTGAATTTGAATAAAAGCAGAACTGAAACAAAAAAAAGGGGGGGGGGGAACCTGGTTCAAGCATATTGTACATATTAAAGTGTATTTTTGCATTATTAATATTAGATTTACGGATTATTTTTCTTAACCGTGGATAGAAAGCAGTGAAGACAGGAAAGTCAGGGGACAGCGGGTAAGGGAAGACACACCATGGGTCAGAGTTGAACCTGGACCGCTGCATTTCAGCCTTGTAGCCTATAGTTGCATGCAAATCTCAGAGGTGGTTTTTCACCTTCAAGGTGAATTTTCTTCATCTCAACGAGTTGCTTATTGGAACCACAGCTGGACCCGGATGATCAAAACTTACCAGAGCTTCCTCTTACTTCTGTGACTACAAAGCACTCTAATCTCTTCTAAATCTATTATTGCATGACCACCGTTAGGATGATGTGTGTTTTTAAACAATGGACAACACTCACGTGGCTCTGGAGTGCAGAAGGTGCCATTCCCCTGGAATCCCGGTTTACACAGACAACCAGCACCTAGCACACAGTCAGCCTGAGCGTGGCACTGCCGGCACTCCTCTGGGATTGAGCCTAGAAAGGCACACGTGGGATTTATCTCAGTAGAAGATAACAAGTCAAATCCAGTCAAGTCAAAGTTTATTTATATAGCACATTTAAAAGACTAGTGTACATCAAAGTGCTTCACAATAAAACCGCAGTGTGGGCAGAACAAAGAACAATAGTACAATTATACTTAAAATTGCATTTACATGGTGTAAGGCAGGCCGAATGAAGGTCAAACTAATTTGTTTCAAAAGCTAAGTTAAACAAGTGTGTTTTTAAACGGGATTTGAATGATTGAATTGATTCCGAAGTACGGATTTCGACTGGGAGATTATTCCAGAGTCTAGGGGCAGCGATGGCAAATGCACGGTCACCTCTGGTTTTTAAACGAGACCTTGGTTGCATTAGGAGCAGTTGGCTGGAGGATCTTAGTGCTCTCTTTGGGTTGTACGGATAGAGGCGATCAGTTAAGTAGCTAGGGGCCAGGTTATTTAGAATTTTAAAAGTGAGCAGAAGGATTTTGAAATCAATGCGATATTTGACGGGAAGCCAGTGTAGGTTAGCGAGGACGGGGTGATGTGCTCATGCTTTCTAGTGCCGATTAAGAGGTGTGCTGCCGCATTTTGGACTATTGCAGGCGCTGAAGGAGGGAGAGTTGGAGGCCCAGGTAAAGAGAGTTACAATAGTCCAATAAGGAGTGATGAAGGCATGGATAAGTTTTTCAAGTTCTTTATGTGGTAAATAGGGCTTAGCTAACAAGAGTAAACAGGGCTTTAAGATAAAACTCACAGGTTTATTTAAGGAATGTTTTTGTGAATCCAACCTAGAAACTTTCAGAAACCAAAAGCATTCAACATGGATCCAGAATCCTCGTTTTGTTTGCATAGACCATTTGCACTTGGACTTCCTACACTGTCTGAAAGTGGTCTCTTAAATTTGAATTTCGTTATGAGCAAGAGGACAAGGTCTCAGGGATCCAAATCCAAAGTAGGTCTTAATCTGAGTGAAGACTGTGTTGCCATCATCTCCTGGCATGATGGCACAACATCAAGTTTCAGGTAGTTTCCAGCGAATGTTCTTCAGATGCCTCAGGTGTTACAGAAAAAAAAGAAAACAAATGACACTCATATTCTTGTTCACACTCCCGGCCTGATGCACTGCTTTTCTACTTGGAAACTTTGACTCCTCCACTGAAAACTCCTGTCTGGTCTCTGGGTTGTCGCTGGAGAGCCCACTCTCATCGCTGGGGTGATTCCTCTCCTTGAAAGTTGGTGACGTTCAAGGACTTTGGTGAAATTGCAGCAAATTACATCCAAGTAGTCATACCATGATTTCCATGTAGTGATCTAAAAGCAGTAGCAACACTGGAAGCAAACTGCACCCAAATTTTAGGGGTTTTCTGTGTTTTTTAATGGGCAGTCTTAAGTAAAAAAAACAAAACATGGTTGGAATTATGTTGATCAAACACTGAAATAGATTATTTAACATGATTATCCATGCACTCAAACATCATGCATTTATTAAACGGTCTTTGCATCTAAATAAACGATAAATACATTGAAAACAAAAAACAGGAGGAGGTTGGCGGTGTTTTTGACCATAAAGGTAGTCTCACAGGAAGAACCACTGGTCCCTGCTGACCTGCAGCCTCTCCGTTGTGAGGTGGAGGTTTGGACAAGGACAAAAAGAGGTGCAGTTGGCAACAGGCTCGCATATCTCCAGAGACGAGTACAGAAGCTACTGAAAGAGAGCCGAAGCTAAAAATTAAATTGCATCTCAAGCACACACTGCCAAAAGTGGACCAGGTAGTAGATGCTGAGGGATCTGGAGACAAAGGAAGCTGCAGCTGTTCATGATCGTTTCACATCATGACTTTAAGCTCCTCTTTATAAATCTTACTGATGAAAGTCTGGCTCAAGACGATCTAAACAGCGAATGAGTTTTGGCTGTAAATGAAAGGGCTGTGCTCGTTTTATAACACAAGACAGAACAGACCAGAAGAGCTTTGTAGCAAAGATAAAAGCAACAAGTCATTGCTGTATCTCATTATCTTCTTAACTGTTAAAAGCCAAAAACCTAACTGAAACTAAAATGAGTCACTCAGATGTGGTTTTCATCGTATCTCATCGCTGTTTGGCTGGAACAGAGAAAAACTGGTTAAAATGTTGAGGATAGCCCTAAGTTGTTTTTTTTAGTTTAACAAGCCCTTTAAGGTGGAGAATAGTTATAGCAGATGGGTGGAGCTTCTGAGATAAGACATTAGGGACAATTTCCCCCCTAAATGACAACATACACTGATGAGGCATAACCTTATGACCTTTTTCTTTTGCTGCCAAAACAGCCCTGACCCATGTTCCCTCTAAGCTGCGGCACGTGCGCAATTGCGCACTGCTGGCACGGTCTCTGCGCACAGAAAATCTGCTTTGCACACAAAAAAACTAACCTGAATTGAAATTAAAATTAATACTTTAACAATTCTGTTTTGCAGTGTTAGTCAGTGAGTGACTCAGCCTCCCTGGGAAAGTCTATGCCAGGGTGCTGGAAAGGAGAGTTCGTCCATTAGTCGAACCTCGGATACAGGAGGAACAATGTGGTTTTCGTCCTGGTCGCGGAACACTGGACCAGCTCTTTATCCTCTCCAGGATA